GATATTTCAAGAAAGATAAAGTCATAAAAACTGTAGCAGCTGCAATAAAAGGATCATCTGAGCTAATGGTCTACGGGCTGGGATCATATTTTGAGGAAGAGCACCCTGATTCTCCTTTGCAGTTAACCAATGAACAAAATAGGTTTAGTACATTCTATTATTATGAGGGAAACGGAGACCAGAGAGCTCTTGCAAGAAATGGATTTCATCACAATCGTAACGACGGACCTACTTCAACAAAATGTTTTTATTGTGAATTTACTTGGAATACATGGCAACCCAATGATGATGTGCTAATTGTCCATAGACAAAGGTCACCAAATTGTACGTTTATCAACAGAAGCATATCTAGCGCCGAACAAGTTGCTGCGATGGAATCAGTAACTGTCCGAACAAATATAACGGAGAGGCAAATTGGTCATAGTCATACAAGAGCTGGCGTTTCAGAGACTAATCGACTCATCGATCTAGCAAGGACACGCACAGTAAGTGATTAACTATATCGTCCCAATAATACAGAAAAAATCACTAATATTCAAATTTGTGGAATATTATCATTTTTCCATTGAATTCTATGATACACAATTTCATCAAATAATAAATTTAAAGCTTTTGGGAGGTTAGGAATAACACTTTTTCAACAGTTAGTTATGATGTTTGTAAGTAATATCGCGCTACCATGGTTATTATTCTACCTACTTTGGCAGGTACATCAAAGGAATAGGGAAGAAATTACAGAAACGAGAGAGTCCCAATGTGGCGAACACGGCTTTGGTGCATCTGTACGGAACGGTTTAAGGAGTCGGTCTAATGACGGTACGTTGGTGTGTATAATGCACATTTGATATTTGGACGATATAAAACTGCTTTTATGTGCATAGATTAGTTGGAAGTTTTGTAATAGCATTTAGTTTTTTTTTTTTTTTATCTAGGAAACAATGCAAGATATGATTCTAATTGGAACTGTGGTTTTAATATCCATTCTGTAAGTGTACCTTACACTTACGTTTTCATGTACACATTTATATATGCTGTATTAATATGAAAAAATGTATCGAAATTTTGAATTTATATCAATTGAAAACATCTAAAATCATATGGTATATCACGAACACTGAACATAATCTACTGAGTGTACCAGAAAAGTTCGGGATTTTTTATTTGAGGTCTTTCGGTATGCACACGTGTTTCCGGGATCGTGATCTCGGTATTTTGGACAAAAGTTGTAGAATATTATTTATAATTTGGTAAATTTTTATGTTTAATGAACTTTCACTTGCGAATTAATATAAAAATAAAAGCAGTGTTAAATGTTTATTTGGAGGATGTTCAAATATCTCAAATGTCCAAATTTAACTAGAAAATCCCAATAGATTATTTTAGAATTTAGATGTGTATACGTTTCAGAAAGATCCTTTATAATATTATACTAATTTTGAAATGGTCAATAAGATTCCCTGATTTCAGTTTGTAATTTCAAAAGGACCAGTGAAAAAAATCCTATTAATATTCAGTTCTTCCCTGTAAATTTTACAGAAAGTCAAACCGTTCTCAGACAGACTTCACTTCGTCCGAAAAAAGCAATTGGTGGATTAGTTCTATTTTGCTGTCCTGTAGGGGGTATATAGAAGTGAGCTTGTCGGTCGGTCGGTTTATTGTTTCCGGATGATATCTACAGTTAGGAATGAGATATCATACATTGTTTAGTATACGCAGACCTCGTTTGGGATTGCTTTTGGACACCAGGAGTCAATGTCACTGTACTTTAAAAATGTTGCTCAAAGGACTGTTATGTGTAACAACATAAAATACAGACGAGTTCAAGTTTGGCTTCAGATCAAAAATGTTAAACTCATTAACGAAGAAAGAAATTAATGTAATAATGACGATTTTACTTATTCCATACAAATTAATGCACCGAAAAACACATGTACATATGTATACCGGTTCAAGTGAAATTCAAAATGATGTTATATGCAGGCTTCATAACCTCTGATCCCCTTTCAAAATTCCATTTTATTTTGTACCACCCATTGTTTTCTCGTTAAGGGCACACGCATTTTTTTAACTTGGGGACCATATGCCGCTGTTCATGGAATGGCACTTGCATGTCACATTGAAGGTTCCATGATGACCGCCATATGAACACATCTGCAGATGTTTCAAAATTCAAAATTGTACCAGTTCATGTTAAATGTTGAATTCTGCTTAAGCCGGTGCTAGGGGCGTGGACGGTAGTTTGCACTTGATAGTACCGTCCATGAACAGACTCAATCAAACCGAGCCTGCAACATTTTGACGTGTTGGGCTTTCTTTAGGGATTCTTATTTTCTCTATTTCACTTACTTGACATATCTCTTTCATTCCTATTTTTACATGTTAGACTGTAGAACATTTATTTACAAGAGAACTTTATTGTTTACAGGGTCATACCAGGAAACAGGCTACGGTTCAAACTCCGAATTTGTTTCTTCACATGAAAACAATCGTCAAAGATGTAACACAGAGGAACAAAGTAGCAACATGCAGACAAGTTACCGTCTGAATGCCATGGAAACAATGAACTATCCAAAACATCTAGATTATGTCAATCTCCAACGTAGATTAGACTCCTTTAGCAGCTGGCAAAATGATCAGTTGATACAACCAAGAGCTCTCGCAGAAGCAGGTTTCTTCTACGCCGGTACATTTTTTATAGAATTTTCCTTTTTCACTTCACGAGAATGAATCAAATTAATTCTTCTAATAAACCGGAAACATTGTACTGAATGAAACTGAATAAAATTTCTGGGGATATCCATACACATCAATAAAAGGTGTCTCACAGTCTCATTTTCTCGGATTCACATTGTCTCTTTATTACAGATAATAAGTTGAAATGTTTAATGTGTGAACATGTATCAATAATACAAAAGGTACCACTTGTGTATATATCAGCACATTATGTATCTTTCAAGATTGAAAATTCAAGTTCATCATTATGATGCACATGGCTAGTAAAAATAGTATGTTTTTGAAAAGGAAGTTATTTTCTTTTGTTGTAGGGTTTGGTGATTGTGTACGTTGTTACTTTTGTGATGGTGGTTTACAAAATTGGGAGGAGGGTAATTAAATTTGCTTTACTTAAGATCATGTTTATATTTGTCTTTGGTGTAAATAGGGTATATTAGGCTACAGAATATAACTATTTATTTTAAATTTTGTTGTTCTACAGGAATCTCATTTTTAGTTAGAAATATAGATGCTTTAAGAATTAAACCAGTACTTTATCAAGATAAGTTTTACTCGGGGTCAATTCCAATACCTGAAGTGCTGATAAATTTATTTGTTACTGAAACATATGTTTTGTAGAAGAACCATTTACTATAATATATTTCCTGTGACAAGAAAAAGTTAAGCGTTGCCCCGGCTTGGCGATGGAATATTCTTCCTCTGATGTATTTGACTTAAGAAATAAGGAAAGGGTCGAGCGTTGTCCCGGTTGGGCGGTGGCTCTTCTTAAGTTGTTGTCATTACTCTAATGACATCTTTCCTAGTCAGAAGTCTGTTTATTTTCTCACAGGAGATGATCTATTGAAGGAACATTTACGATGGTTTCCACATTGTAAATTCATTACAAGTGTAAAAGGACAGGTAGGCAATGCTTTTGGGAGTGAAAGGCTTTATTTTTTAAATTTTGATAGCATACCTTATATCTAACTATTTATTCACATTTATGATGGAATTATTTTGCATTTTTTAAGTATTTGAAGTGTTTTTAAAACTCTTTGATTGAAAATAAGCATGCTGTTTTTTGCTTGATTTTTTGTTGTTATTTTTTTTTCAAATTAAGTTCTGTTTGAGGTTATTTTATGTATGTTCTCATGCTAAAAAGTTCAATAATTCAAGTAGTGTTTAAATTTGTACAGGTATTATTTAATAGATAAGACATTGGTTATTGTAGGCGGAGAGAGAACAGACTCAAAGAAAGACAGGAGTAGGAGTGATGAGTTAGTACAGATAAGATAATAACCATTCTGCCATTCTGGGTGCTAAAATATTATGATGCAAAAACACCGTTCACAGAACACATCTTTAACTTAACTTCATTCACGCTAAAAAAGCTTGCACATAGGAACTGTTGGGTTCCGGACAGGAAACTTTCATTGATAAATTGTTTCTGTAGCATTGAACTTCTTATTGCAAATGCCTACAACAAATAGTAGTAAATATTAAGATTAAAATATAAAATACAATTGTTATATATGTGAAAGGTAGTACTTGCATATAATTAAGACTATTTGATTAACAAGATTGTATCAGTGATCCTCTGAAAGGGAAGTGTCAGTTAGATAGGTAGATCATGTAGTTAATTTTAATTTGATTCGGAAATATTCATATATTTGGTATCACTATATATCAGCAGCGAAATCAAGTAAAATTATGTAAGTCAGGGCATATGATTAATAAGAAATTTGATGGTTGTATTTTTACAGATCCTATGACCAGAAGAATCATACAAACTATGGAGAATATGGGGTTTAAATCTGATGTCGCGAAGCTTGCGGTTATGGCAGTAAAAAATCAAACTTCTGGTATGCACAATCTATGAATTCTGTTGCACTGTTTGAATTTGCATTTGGTATATGTTGTATTTAAAGTCTATGATAATATTGGATGATATACGGTATTGCAGTTTTAGACTATTATATCATTTGCGTTTCAATTTGACATTATATATATTTCATATATATATAATTTCTTTTTATTTCATTGTATTGTAGGGCAGTATGATGTGATGCTCAATGAAGCAGTTACCTGGGCTTTAGATCAAGAAAGTAATAACAGAGGTAAGTGTTGACACCTTGTAGATGTAAAAATAACGAAGGAATTACGCAAAATAAACATTGTTATATCCCCAAAATCGAAGTTTGGGGGGGTATATAGGAGTCACCCGGTGGTCGGTCGGTCGGTCCAGACGTCCGTTGCATTTTCCTTGTCCGGAGCATAACTTGAAGACTAATGGTTGGAATTCAATATAACTACATACAATGGTCAAGCACATTGAGAGGAAGTGCAGTGCACAAGAACCATAACTCTATCTTGACTAATTACAGAGTTATTGCCCTTTGTTACTTTTCCTTGTCCGCGGCATAACTTGAAAACTACTGGTTGGAATTCAAAATAACTTCATACAATTGTCAAACACAATAAGGGGAAGTGCAGTGTACAAGAACCATAACTCTATCTAAAGTAATTACAGAGTTATTGCCCTTTGTTGCTTTTCCATTGCTTTTTTTGTCCGGACCATAACTTGAAGACTAATAGTTTGAATTCAATATAACTACATACAATGGTCAAGCACATTGAGAGGAAGTGCAGTGCACAAGAACCATAACTCTATCTTGACTAATTACAGAGTTATTGCCCTTTGTTACTTTTCCTTGTCCGGGGCATAACTTGAAAACTACTGGTTGGAATTCAAAACAACTTCACACAGTTGTCAAGGACATTAAAAGGAAGTGCAGTGCACAAGAGCCATAACTCCATTTTGACAAAATACAGAGTTACTGCCCTTTGATACTTTTCCTCGTCAGGAGCATAACTTAAAACGTACTGGTTGGAATTCAAAACAACTTCATACAATGGTCAAGCACAATAGGAGGAAGTGCAGTGCACAAGAACTTTAACTCTATCTTCAATATTTATAGAGTTATTGTCCTTTGTTCCTTTTCTTTGTCTTTCTGGACTTATTACAGAGTAATTCAATTAAACTTCATCAATGGCCAACCACATTGAAAGGAAATGCAACATATAAGAACCACAACTATCTTTAATTGCCCACAACCATAACCCTATATTTCAATTCTTTTACAAGGTATTCTGTTACTAGTAACATCCTCATTTCTGAAGCAGTCCTGTGGGGGTATTAATCACATTTAGTGATAGTTCTAGTTTAATATAGTTGTATCGATGTTTTTTTAATAAAGAATATATTACATTATTGTACATGGATCCTTTACGCCATGTTCACGAGGTAACACCATTTTCGTGAATGGTGCACGGAAGCAACGCTGGTTACTCATGAAAAAGTATCTGAGTCACGTTTTATCTGCTTCCTTTTACTATAACATGTATACGATACTATTTGCTCATACAAGATGTATCGTAATTCGATTGTGTAGGATAGAATATAACTTAAAGACACACTACTCTGGTCCGTTCCTGTAACCAATCTGTACTTGGGTGCAGCAATGGGTGTAAAGTTTCTTGCTTAAAGAAAAATATGACTCGCTCCTGACAGGGTATTTAACCAACGATTCTAGATTACTAGTCCGACGCGTCATACCGCCACTATACTTTTTGTTTTGAAAATTTTATAAGGAATGCCAGATATCAAAACTTAAACGTTTAATTGCCTTTTTGTACCTATTATAATATCGACAAAACACAAAAGTTGCCTTCAAAACGTAGTAAGGTCGTCATTCTCATGAGAAAACACATCTAATGCTGGTTAAAGTATAAAGTTATAACAGCCGTATGCGCTTATCCTTTTTTAATTTGATTTACTATAAAAAATATTTTGGTCTGTTTAATAAACTTGTTACTCGTTTCGGACATAGTTTTGCACAGATTAGATGTTGCGTTTGCATGATTCCTGCGTATTCTCAGATTCTTGAGTGGTATAACCGTTACTAATATTTACCATTCATGTACAACACAATCTTAAATTGTTTTCGGACATCTCTTTATTTTTGTCTTTAATAGGTACTTGTAGTTATATTACATTGTATATATGAATAAGGTTGTTAATTCCCAATCTAATATGTACATCTTACCAGAAATTTTGAACACAAGCTATCTTCCAAACTTCAGACGACCAGACTCAGCCGCAGGCATGTGCCCCTTTAGAATCTTCAGACGCTGTTGCGGGAGCTACCGGGTCTTCACCATCAACATCTACCAACTGTCAAGGTATAGTGCACATCTCAATAGTCAAATTATATTTTATACATTTTTCTTCTTAATTACGTTCAGAATATATTCTTACAAGAAAACATATTGGTACATGTGTCATTTTTAGCATACACATATTAAAACATTTGTTTGTTTTGTTTTTATATACATAAATTTTTTGCAGATGTTGCGTGTTTAAAAGCAGAAAACCAGCAGCTTAGAGAGTTGCTCAGATGTAAAATATGTTTGGATAGGCAGATGGAAGTTACCTTCTTACCATGCGGTCATCTAGTTTGCTGTTTTGTATGTGCTGCTAACATACACAAGTGTCCTTTCTGTAGGAAAGAGATAAGTGGCACTACCAATACAGGTATACCTCATTGATAACAAACGAGAGAAAACTCAGCATGGCAAACCCCGTGGTGAAATTGATAGTGAGACTCCTTTGCAGGGGAGGGTGAACGATGTTGCAGCTTACATTATCTCTTTTAAACAGGCTTAATCAAACCGAGTCTTCCAGACAGATGTTCTATTGTTCACAAGGGGTCTCCGTTTTCCAGATTTTCATATTCACGAATTGAGATATTTGAAAAAGATTGAAGGCGAATTACATTGCATACTGAAGCTCTATGAACACCAAGTCTCGGAAAAGGTCCTATCAACAAAGGCAGCTAAATGCTTAGTTTTAGCGAGAGAAAATTGCAGTTTGAATTTACTTAAAATTTCTTTTATACATTGATTATTGCAGGGAAGTATACATAGACATGTACTACATTATTGCAAACAGCAAATGCGTATGAAACACAAAAATGCAATTAAAATAGAATAAAATAATTAAAAAACGTGTTCTGTGCTACCCTAGGATTGCCCATTAAGCTTTAAAGCTTTTTTCCAAAAGGAAAATTAATAATATATACTTACACATGTTAATATTGACTGTAGTCATTAGCAATATATACATGATATTCATATGTAACTTTTCTTTGCAAACTTAACTCTTTTAGACTATAGCTATTTCGGTAAATAATTATTACTGTAACAAGTCAATATATTCTGCAATAAATTGCTTCTTGAAAAATGTTCCGGTATTATCATGAAACAATTTTTTTTGCGTTCATCAACAACAAAGGATATATTTGTAAAAGAAATTGTTAACTTGATTTGTTTTGTCAGTTGCGCCAGATTGCTGAATCTATAGAGGATTTTTCGGTCAAATGGTGTCGCCGTGAAAATGCGGATAGTAATGCTCTAGTTACATGGAAACGTAACATCTTTAAAATTATTGATTCACGTATTAATTTTTATCGTGGAAATGAACATCTTTTGCCACCTAAACCAAGACTTACTTTAAGACATCTGAAAAAAGATATTCTAGCTTTTCATTCAAAATTTGTTTTGGTGCCAGCGGACAAGGCGGCTAATAATATTATAATTGTTTGACGAATCCATTACATTAACGTTTTGCATAAGGAACTAAATAGCACTAATGCGTATTCTAAAACCTCTGCCTCCGAAAAAGACATTGTAAACAATCATATTACTAATATTTCCAATCTTAAAGTCCAAATTAATGAAAAAGAACTCAAACTTCCTATTATGTATTGGATTCCTAAATTACATAAAAAACCTTACAAAGCCAGATTTATTGCTAACTCTACATCTTGCACTACAAGTAAACTTTCTATTTTATTGACGTCTTGTTTGACTGCCATTAAAACACATGTAATTAGATATTGTGATAAAGTCTATGAAAACACAGGCAAACATCTCTTTTGGTCAATAAAAAATTCTGGTGAAATCTTGGATAAATTCAAAATTAAGAACTTTCAAGCTTCAACTGTCAGTACATACGATTTTTCTACACTTTATACAACTTTACCACATAAATTAATCAATGATAAACTAATTTCCCTAATTCAGAAAACTTTTGCACGGGAAAAAGTTACCTTTCTAGCATGTAATTCTAACAAAGCTTTTTTTACTAACGGTATTGTTAAACATTATACTATGTGGACCTGTGACGAAGTTTGTAGAGCACTCTCTTTTCTTTTAGACAACATTTATGTCAGGTTTAGTAATACCCTATTTAAACAGATCATAGGAATTGCTATGGGTACTAATTGTGCACCCCTGGTCGCCGATTTTTTTTGTACTGCTATGAATGAGACTTTATGTTGAGTCTCTCTGAAGATAAACAACAAGATGTTATAGTCGCATTTAATAATACTTCCAGGTACCTTGATGATATTCTTAATTTAGATAATCCTTATTTTGATCAAATGGTGTCTGACATTTATCCGCATGAACTACAACTTAATAAAACGAACTCTTGAAATTTTAGTACATCATTTTTGGATCTTCATATTTCTATCAACAACAATTCTATTCACACGAAAATATATGATAAAAGAGATGACTTTGACTTTTGTATAGTTAATTATCCACATATAGATGGAGACGTACCCCATGCAACATCTTACGGGGTTTATGTTTCTCAGTTAATTAGATTCGCTAGAGCTTGTAGCAACGTAAAGGATTTCAACGAGCGGAATATTTTTATTACCAGCAAGCTTCTAAAACAGGGCTTCCGCTATCATAAATTACGGAAATATTTTACTAAATTTTACAATCGTAACTTTGATTTAATTTCTAAATTCAATAGTGATTTAAAAACTCTTCTGTGACAAGGGATTAGCCAGCCTGGTTTTTATGGCGATGTGATTTACAAACTTCGTAAGATTTTGGGTCATGGTAATTTTTCTGCTGTTTTTACTAAAATCATTAAACGTTTTATTAAAAGAGGTTATGATCCTACTATTTTAAGACATAATGCATGGTTAGTGTTCAGCCCTTTTACAGTTGGACACTACGCTTTCCTCTTTTGATTACATCTGACGGACCAAGTGGGAGACTCTATGATGGATAGTTCTTAAAGCCCTTTGGGACTGAATTGTCTTAATGTTCGTCTTCTGCCTTGCTTCGTCGGGCCCTTGTAGGTGATTTTCTTGTTGCTCTATCTTCCTTTAAGACATTGAGTACTTTTGTTATGGTCATTGGGTTTACTTTTATATGTTTCTACATGATCATTTTAGTGTTTTACTTATTTAACCTTTTGTAACCATGACAACTGTTAGAATTTCACTTGGCGGGGATTCATTTTATTTACACTGTCTCGTTTATAGGAACATGGTGGGGCTAAGAGCGAGGTTTGGTGCACCATTAACCGGTTTAAACTCCCCAGCAGTCATTATTATGCTGCTGACCGTTCCAAGGCGGCGCCCCACTGTGTTCCTCAGATGTATGTCTATGTTGTTTCATACTGTTTTGGTGACATTTTTGCTTGTGTCCCTTGTTGTTTTCTCGTCTACGGTAAGTATCTTCCCCATTGCCTCTAGTTTTTATTTCTTTGATTAACCCCCCCCCCCTTCCCCCGGTCTCCTGTCCCCTTCCCCCTTTTTGGGCCTATTATTATTTTCTTTGAATTCCTTATCAGTTACAAATTATTTATCATTTCATGATTAACCTGTCCGTGCTCTGTCTTTGCCCTGTCCTGTTTTTGTTTGGGGTCCGCCTGGGCTCCTTGTCATTGGTTCTTGTTGATGGGTCGTATGGGGGTTGCGTTCATTGAACGCCACCTTTCCTTGTTGATCTTGTTTATCATATTGTAAATGTTATGTGACATGACTGTACTATGTTCTGTTTGTGTCACTACTGTAGTCAGTAACATAAGATGATAAAAATATCAAAGTCTAATTTTTTTATTATTATAATTGTAACAAATATACAAATAGTATCAAAAGGGACTAATATTATAATATACTAATATTACATGCATTTTTTCATGTCAAATTAAAAAAAATGGTTTCTTTCAATACTGAAAGTAGAACACACTCTGGAATGAAAAAAAAATGGGATGAATTTCAAAAAGACGAAATTTAGGATTTTTTTGTTTGTTATACACGCCTTACATGGTGATACAGTATTTATTAATATAATAGAAGACTGTTACCTGAATTTTAGGCAGGTATGAGGAAATTCACTAGCATCATGTTCGTGCGAGTCAAAGATATAGAAGCTATTTGACATTGGTGATATATATATATTAATTGATTTATTTGGAGATCAATATACTTTTTGTTGAATTGTTTTAAAGCCATTCATAAAAAAAATACACTTTATGTTCAAAATGCAGATCAAATCAATGATGCTATCTATCAATAGCCTATGCTTAATGACGGTCCATCCGCTCGTAAGGCCACAAAATACAGGTTTCGCTGTCGAGTACGGACCCCGGACATGTCACCAGTCATACCCTTCGCAGGAATAGCTATTTTTTACGGACGCGGACAGTCACGGACAGGTCGCGTCACGACAAAATGCCTTGAACGATATTAAATACTTTATCGATTTCGAAAGAAAATACTAAAAAGCTCACTAAAATAGTGTTGGAGAACCCATAAGTTTTTGATGCAACAATGACAGATTAAAACAACAACATCTTGTCTTCGGTTGCTAAAGAGATGTTATTCAAAAACCTAACTGGCATTCAATGTTTTTCCTTTTTCTTTTCACCTAATTCTTTGATGTTACAACTGGTTTTGGTATTTGAATGTAATTATATCATATTCTACAAATAAGTATCCTCTGTTCGCTATACTATAATTAAAAGTATATAGAAAAATAACGTACATATGGATTAATACTCACGGACATGCACCGGACATGGATCACGGACGCGGGTCACGTACCATTGAATTAGCGGCCTATTGAGTTAATTTTGAAGTGCTGTATCACTAAAGCCAATGAAATGTAACTTTATATACTAAAGTTTAATTATTTCAAAACAACCAATATATCAACATGTTATTATTAAACATTTGATTTCATAAATATAAATTAAGAATAATTATCAAAAGCAAAATTATTAAAGTCTTATACATGAAATCTTCTTTATATTGACAAATTCAATCATTAACAGTATACTTGATATGAGCTGCTGTGTGTAAATTAATTCAAAATGTAACAAATTATAGTTTCATGTACTACTAAAAAAGGGAAATAACAAATGTATACCTAAGCGTCAAAAAACAGAACATTTATAGCTATTTATAGCTTTCGAATTCATGTACAGCAGAACTGCTTACCTGTTCTGATTCATTAATATGACATGTTGCGAATCACCGAAGGGGAAACCAATATAGAAATCGAAAGGAGTTCTTGAATGCGGATTTATTTTTAGCTGTAAATCGAAGGGATTAATTGATCAAATCCGGGCCCATGGACAAAAAAATAGTAAACACAAATAGCTCCGCGCCTGTGGGCGCGGAGCAATGATTCTAATTGGAACTTTGGTTTTAATATCCATTCTGTAAGTGTACCTTACACTTACGTTTTCATGTATACATTTATATATGCTATATTTATATGAAAAAAAATATATCGAAATTTTGAATTTATATCAATTGAAAACATCTAAAATCATATGGTATATCATGAACACTGAACATAATCTACTGAGTGTACCAGAAAAGTTCGGGATTTTTTGTTTGAGGTCTTTCGGTATGCACACGTGTTTCCGGTATCGTGATCTCGGTATTTTGGACAAAAGTCGTAGAATGTTATTTATAACTTGGTAATTTCTAATGTTTAATGAACTTTCACTAGCGAATTAATATAAAAATAAAAGCAGTGTTAAATGTTTATTTGGAGGAAGTTCAAATATCTCAAATGTTCAAATTTAACTAGAAAATCCCAATAGATTATTTTAGAATTTAGATGTGTATACGTTTCAGAAAGATCCTTTATAATATTATACTAATTTTGAAATGGTCAATAAGATTCCCTGATTTCAGTTTCAAAAGGACCAGTGAAAAAAATCTTATTAATATTCAGTTCTTCCCTGTAAATTTTACAGAAAGTCGAACCGTTCTCAGACAGACTTCACTTCGGCCGAAAAAAAGCAATTGGTGGATTAGTTCTATTTTGCTGTCCTGTTGGGGTATATAGAAGTGAGCTTGTCGGTCGGTCGGTTTATTGTTTCCGGATGATATGTACAGTTAGGAATTTGATATCATATATTG